GAAGCTGTGTTAAGGTTCTCACTCTTTCATTTTCCAGCATCACAAGATTATATAAAAATAAAAGATAATCTTGAGTCCTTCTAGATCTGTACAAATTAATTTTTTTTTTTTTTCTTAAATACAGTAGTTGACAATTGCCAAAGATACTTAAAACTGCTAAGGACTATGGATATGGAGGATTGAGGAAGAACAGGTTGCTCTTCCTCTAATGTGCTTCAAATCCAGGTCTGAAATAAAGCAAAAGTGATCTCACTTCATCTCTAGAGAAATGTTAAACCTACTGTGGAACTTAAAGCAAAATATTTCAAGTTTAATCAATCAAAATAAATTGTGAGCAGTCTGCACAATCCACATTCTAGGAATTTATGTTGCCTGGGGCTGGGGTTCCCCTCCCACAGGGCACAAACAACAAATCCTGCAGAGGTGACAATATTTGAGATGCAGGGCACAGGCAGGACTCAGCCACTGGCCACTGCTCCATGTGGTGCTGGTTCCTCCTGTGCCTCTCTGAGCCTGCACACAACAAATGCCTACAACTTGCAGGTTTCTCTCTCCCTGCCTTTGATTCCAAGTAGCAGCAGATTCCAGAGGATGCCTAAGGCAGCCCTGTTGAAAAATTCAAGTGGAGGCTGGGGACAGGTTCCCAGTTGCACCACTGCTCATCTAAGCTGCCATGACAATTTAAAGGGACAATAGAATGTGTCTAGGTGCTGGTTATTTACAGCATTAACTTTAGAGGCAGAAAGAGCTTTTAGAATTATTTAATCAAATTATTCTGTTATTAAAAGAATCTTTTAAACACACTCAAAGAAAAGAAATTTTACTCTCTCTCCCCACCAAATTTAGCACTTTTGAGTTTAGTACTCATATTTCTACATCACTTTTTTGAGTAAAATCACTGATAGCAGTATGAGATAGTAGTATCAGTGATCAGAGAAATGTGCTGCTCAAGGTAAAACATCTTTCCTGGGATGAAAGTCCGAGCTGGAGTGATTTTAAGGAAAAGCAACCAAGAAGGTTAAAGAGGAGCCAGTATTCACAACTACACCAGTGACACCAAGCTGAAAAGTGCCGATACTTCCAGCAGGTGATTTACAGGATCAGGGTCCCCATGAGTGCCCAGAGAAACGCCAGGAAGGCTGAGCCAGTGCCACGCTGGTTGCTGTGCCCCTGCTAGGAGGATGGGGTGTGTTCTGAGCAGAGCTCTGTGTGTGTCTTTGCCCAGAGCCCCCTGACCCCCCTGAGATAGAGATCCGGGAGGTGAGAGCTCGGAGCATCGCCCTCAGGTGGACCATGGGCTTCGACGGCAACAGCCCCATCACCGGCTACGACATCGAGTGCAAGAACAAGTCAGGTAAGGAACAACCTCAGCAGTCCCCGTTGCTGCTCATTCCCCACCCAGTTTGTGCTGTAAAACGTAATTCAGAAATTGAAACTGTCTGATGGAATTTTTTATCGTGGTTTGTTTAATCTTCCACAGGAAGATTTATTTTCATTTGTTGTCCTTTTTGTTTGTTTTGTGGTAAAGACACTGAATTTAGCAATTGCTGCTTTTCCCTTTTATCGCTTCATGCTGTAGTTACTGAGGCAAAAATTTTGTGATGTTTTCATTAGTAGAAAAAATATTTTCAGGAGTGCTGAATCGTCAGTCATCATTTTAGCCCTGTCTTTCTAAATGAAATCAATAATGTACAGGAGAGATTGATAATGTACCTGAAAGATGAGGAGTGGAAATTCTCCACTGAAGATGAAGTCAGGAATTGAAGGTTTGGAGATGTGGATTGGGCAAGGGTGCCTTCAAGGGATATGCACACCTAAAAGTTTCTATGCTCTGTTTTCTTTTTGTTTATTTTCCTTTCTTTCCAACCACCCACCTGCTCCAGAAAAGCTTTTGAAAATCGTTCTTGCCTGATCGACTCCTTGCTCACACTAAAACATGTCTTGTATTTCTCAAATACAAGAATAAATATCTCAGAATGATGTAACTCAACACAACTCCATTTAGGATGACTGAGGTGCTTCCATTCTATTGAAGCAATGACAAGAAGGGATTTCAGAGCTCTAAAACATCCTTGTTAGATTTAATTTTATGTTTTCCAGTGATAATGTAGAATGCGGGCAAAGATTAAGTGGGGGTCACCATGAACTTGCATTGAAAAATGATTTCTCACTAATATGGAATGATAAATCAAGAGCAAGACAGCAAAAGAAGCATCATCAGGTTGGATGGAAATATCAGGACAGAATATATTGATAAATGTTAAAAAATTAAAGAAAGGAAAATAAGTGGGCAGCAGAATTGGTGCCCAAAATATTTCTTTGTATGTATCTGAAGACAAATCCTGGGGGTCATGTCCTAACAAGAGCAGATTATCTTCTTCTTCTTGCTGCAAACAACAGAAATATCATTTTTTTAGAGTCAGAGGCTGACTATTTGGAGAAACCAGGATCAGGTGTTTGAATTCTTGCATACAAATTTTGTCATTAATTAAATCACCGAGAAGATAAAATACCAAAGATGGTTAATGGAGAACTTGCATGGGGTAGTTGGGGGGATTAGGAAAAAAGAGGAAGAATTAGGAAAACTCCTCAGTTTCCAGGTACTAAAGGTATGGAACAAAATTTAGATTATATATTCAAGGAACACCCTACCAAGACCAAAGACAAGCTGTAAACTGCACAGCTGTGTTTTGTGAGCATTTCCCACCTCTGTTGCCTTTCCTGAGGACTCAGGAATGGATTTAGATCAGATGCACCATCGAGGCTTCTCAAGCAGGAAATCTTTCCTGTTTCAGAGAAGGTGCAGGTGACCACAAAGAATGCATGGACTGTATTTAGGAGCTCTCACATATCCCATCATAAAATCATAGAAATTAGGTTGGAAAAGACCTTTAAGATCATCGAGTCCAAAGTTAGCTCAGCACTGCTGATGTCTACCCGATCAGACACAAAAGATTCACTAATTACCCCAATGGAATTAGTTACTCCATGGAAGGAGCATGGAGTTGCCTGTCCTGTAGGGTCTAGTGCCGGAGCACTGTGATTACCAGGAACGGCGTTTCAGGATGTTTTGATGCTTAGAGACATCACCTGTCTGTACAGACATGTACCTGTGGCACTCAGACCTGGCCCTTCATGGAGACCAGTCCTGTGCAGCCTCCAGAAGTTTCCATCGGAGGTGTGCAAATACATCTTTGGGTTGTGGGTCCTCATTTGTGCCTCTCTGAGCCTCATCCTTTTGAAAACATTATTTCATTAGGGTAGTCGTAGGGACAAAGTTTGAACAGTTCTGTTTAATATTGCATTTTATTGTGCTGTGATGTGAGCGGGGCATGCCCCGGGTCCCTGATGATTCCGCAGAGTTGGGGATCCCCCAAATTTTTCCCGGGATCCGAGGCGATTTCCCGGGATCCGCGGGGGCTCCGGCCGGGCGCGGGGCTGCTGCGGTACCAGAGATGGACACGGGGTGGCAGCACCGGAACACCTGAAACCAGGAGTTGTGAGGGAGGGGATGACAAACACGCGTCTTCCCCGACCAACACGAGTCTTCCCGTGCTCTCCTCATTCCCAGCTGGGACAAAGCCAGCGGGAGATGAGTTCACTGCGGGGAGCCCTCGGCAGCGCCCGGCCGGCAGCGGGGAGCGAGCCCCGGCCCGGCCGCTGTGCCCGTGGCGCCGCAGAGGCGAGGGGAGAGCCGCAGGAGCCGCTGCCTCGGGCACTGCCCCGGGCCGGGGGCAGCAGCCGGGCCCGGCCCTGCGGCAGCGCAGGAGGCTCTGGCGGTGCCGCTTCTCCAGCTCGGCCCGGTGCCCGGGCACGGCCCCGGCCTTGGGGCTGCCCCTGCTCCGCTCAGCTGCCCGTGCCCTGCCCGGGCGCCGAGGCCGCGCTCGGTGCCCCCGGGTGCCGCTGCTGCGGGCAGGGCCGAGCCCCGGTGCCCGGGCACAGCCCTGAGGGACACCCCTGCTCCCCGGGCTGCCGCGGCTCCTGGAGCCGCTGCCCACGAGCCCCCGGCACGGCCGTGCGGCCAATTCCTCGTGCCCTGGGCAGCGCAGCCTGCAAAGCCGGGGCTCGGCACTGCGGGGCTGGGGCTGCCGTGTGCCAGCGGGGCCAAAGCCTCGCAGGGCTCGGGGCACAGCCGGGCCCGCCAGGACACCGCTCCGGGGATGCTCCCGGCCAGCTCCTGCCCAAGCCCCCCGCAACCCGGGCTGGCTCTGTGCGCTCCGGCAGCCACGACGGGACTGGGGAACAGCTGGGGACTGGGCTTTGCCCACAGCTGAACCTGGAGAGCTGCAAGCTCTGCCCTGCACGCTGTTACAGCCACGGCAGGGAGCAGGCCCAGGAGGAAGGAGGAGCCGCTTTGCCTTGAGCTTCCATAGGGAAAGCTTATTCGAGGTGGAGAGAGCAGGATAAAAAAGAGCCCCTCACCCTCGTTTGCAAGGGGTTTTGCTCAGATCCAAGTCAGGCAGTGGGTACTAACAGCGAAGCAACAGGGAATCCTCAGGGCAGGAGTGAGGGGATTACAGCAACACTGTGGGACAATCAGGATCGGGGGAGCAGAGGGAAAGGCACAGGGGCCAATGGGGCATCCTGGATTAGGGGATTTCCAAGTGAGGGTTTCAATTAGGGGTTGGCCCAGGGGCTGAGTGGCAGGGAACATTCAGGAAAAAGGGGCAGGGTTACCTGGACAGGCAGGGAAGGGACTGGGACCAAGGGAGGGGAATAACTTGAGGGACAGCTTTAAAGGGAGTGTACAACATAGGGAAAAAAACAACTTGGGGAAGATGTGGGGGGATAACAGAATGAACCATTTAACAATAACTTAATGAAATAAACACAAATCGCAACAAATTCCTGTGTGCTCCACTGCTGTTGGGGTTCCGGGGTGGCCCTTTGTGATGTGGGACCTGGTGGTGGCCAGAGACCCTTGTGACATCAGGGAGTTCCGCCAGGGCTGAGGGTCTCCAAGGGGCGCGGAGCCCTGGGGTGCCCAGTTCCAGGAGAGCCGCTCTCTGAAGAGGAAGCAGCTCCCTGGCTCTGTCTGTGCCACACGCTGACAGTGATAGCGGCTGACAGTGACAGACAGCAACAGCGAGGAAGACAAAGGTAACTCCAACTCCCGGTCCCACAGCTCCTTGCCCAGCTGGCTGGAAGCCACCAGCGAGCAGTGGTCAGGGGCAGTGGGCAGCTCAGTCCTGCTGCTTTCACAGACTGAGGAGGAGGAGAGACTCTTTGTCAAAATGGGCCAAGATCTTTCCCGGAGGGAAGATGTGGAAGCGACCGACCAGAGAGATGTTCCAGGAGCCCAAGAAATGTCCGGGCAGGGAATGAGGAGCAGCCAAGAGCTGAACCAAGGCCAGGTACGTGTGAGAGTTTGGGACGTTTCCCACTACAGAGGTGGGACACAAAGAGCTCTATGAAGGGGAAGAAGCCATCAGAGCTCAGGAGCTGTCCCAGTGGGAGGAAGACAGTGAGATGTACCAAGAAGGGTGGGAGAGGGAAGAACGTGTGACAACCCAGGAGATTTCCCAGTGGGAAATAGATGAGAGTGGGCAGCAGGAGATGGGATGGGGAGAAGACGAGAGATGCCACAAAGGCTGTCCCTGCAGAGAGATCTGAGTGTCCCAGAGGATTCCCAATGGGATGATGCCCAAGAGCGTTCCCGGAGGGAAGGTGAGAGGTACCAAGACCTCTCAGCATGGGGACAAGGTGTGCACTGCCACATGTCCCAGTAGGAAGACAGGAGAGAGCTGGAATTGTCCCAAGTGAGAGACAGCAGTGGCAGGGAGCTGTGCCAAGGAGCAGACACTGCAGCCCAAGAGCTGCCCCGGTGGGACGATGTGAGTGAGCGAAAGCTGTCCCAAAGGGAGGAAGATGTGAGCAGGCAGGAGCTGTCCCAATGGGGACACAACATCAGCTCTGAGATCTGGGACAGACCCTTGTGCCCAGTGAGGGACGAGGAGCCTCAGCCTTGTCCCCCAGAGGGGCCCAGCTCTGCCAGCCCCGTGGGGACAGAAGTGGCAGCAGAGGCAGTCCCTGCCCTAACCAGCGCCTCTCCTGCCCCACAGAGTCCCACGGAGGCCGAGCCGGCAGCTGCTGCCCCAGCTGGAGATACTGAGGAGGAGGAGGAGCCCCCTGAGGCTCTCCTGTCCCAAGGGGAAGATGAGGATGATGTCAGCTCCAGTTCCTTGGAGAAGCCACTGGACTCAGTGAAGGAGAAGAACACCCAGACTTGTTCCTCATCCAGTCACGAGGAGCTGTCCCAGGTCGAAGAGGTCATCGAGCTCTCTCCAGGGGACGGCAATAACGAGCCAGAGCTGTCCTCAGTGGAAGAGGCAATTGAGGACATCCCATGGGACAGCACAAGTGACACGGAGCTGTCCCCAGTGAAAGAGGCCATCAAGGTTGTTCCAGAGGACAGCACAAGGGACGAGGAGCTGTCCTCAGTGGAAGAGGCCATCGAGAACATTCCAGAGGACAGCACAAGTGACCAGGAGCTGTCCCCAGTGAAAGAGGCCATCAAGGTTGTTCCAGAGGACAGCACAAGGGACGAGGAGCTGTCCTCAGTGGAAGAGGCCATTGAGAACATTCCAGAGGACAGCAAAAGTGACCAGGAGCTGTCCTCAGTGGAAGAGGCCATTGATGATATTCCATGGGACAGCACAAGTGACCCGGAGCTGTCCCCAGTGGCAGAGGCCATCAAGAACATTCCAGAGGACAGCTCAAGTGACCAGGAGCTGTCCTCAGTGGATGAGGATCTGGAGGACATTCCAGAGGACAGCTCAAGTGACCAGGAGCTGTCCTCAGTAGAAGAAGACATCGAGAAAATACCAGAGGACAGCATGAGTGACCAGGAGCAGTCCAAAGTGGAAGCGGCCATCAAGCTCAGTCCCGAGGACAGCACGGCTCTTCCCCCAGAGGGGCCCAGCTCTGCCAGCCCCGTGGGCACAGAGGTGGCAGCAGAGGCAGTCCCTGCCCTGCCCAGCGCCTCTCCTGCCCCCGGCAGTCCCACGGAGGCCGAGCCGGCAGCTGCTGCCCCGTCCGGAGCTGCTGAGGAGGCAGCAGCGGGGTCAGTGCTGGCAATGCAGGACAGGAGGGACGGCTCTGATGAGGAAAACAAATTTTGGCAATTTTTGTATGACCTGGAGCCTTTCCCGGATGGAGACCCAGAGCTGTCCCAGGAAGCGTCCTGCTGTGAACAATGCAGAGAGGAAGATCTGCCCCATGGGGAGGTCAGGAGTTACCACCAACTCTTTGACTCGGAAAAATATTTGGACCAAGACCTGTCCCAGGGAGAAGTCAGCAGCTCCCAGGGCCCCTCGGACTGGGAAGAATGCATTGAGCAAGTGCTGTCCGGAGGAGATGTCATCAGCTGTGCAGAACATTCAGACTGGGAAGAATATCATGCCCAAAATGTGTCCAGTGAGAATGGCAGAAGACCCTCAGGACTCTCCAGCTGGGAAGACAACAGTGACACGGGGCTCATGCAGGAGAACTGGCCTGAGCACGTCATCTTGGCCAAGCCCCTGTGCCCCGAGGATGATGAGTGGGACGATGTGAGCCTCCTGGAGCTGCCCCCAGAAGACAAGCAAGACCAGAAATGGAAAGTTTTAGTGGCAGAGGGGCTCCCAGTGCCCATCCCTCGGGAGGCCTGGGCTGAGTGCCCGGCACAGGAGCCGTGCAGCCAAGGGCCGGCGCCTGCCCCGCACAGCCCCCCCAGCCCCTGGCCTGCCCGGCTGGGAGCCCAGGCCCTCCGCGGGCAGCCGGCTGCCCCCGGGAAACGTCCCTCCCGCTTCAGGCGGGCGCTGCGGGCGCTGCGGGGGCTGTTCCGCTGTTCCTGCCTCAGGCCACACACAGAGGAGTAAAACGGACACAGGAAAGGGTGAAGAGGATAAAGAGAAGGAAGGTGAACAACAGGAAGAAGATGAAGATGACTGCTCCTGCCAGTCCCGCTCCTCTGTGTCGGAGCAGCAGCTGATCGGTTCGGCTCAAGGGGCTCAGAAATTGCTGCTGCAGCTCCTCCAAATCAGAGAAGAGAAAAGCCTTTGGGTGGGCCAACCAAGCCAAGCAAAACCCAACCAGGCAGAGCCACGAACACCTGGGCAGTGAGGCTTGGAAAATGCCCACCCAAAGAGCCCAAAGCTCTCCCATCCCTGCCCCGGGCCTGGAAGGTGCAGCAACAATTTCTTGGGCACAAAGCAGAGGCTCCTGGAACAGACTCAGCACAAACCCCTCCGGGACAACGGAAAAGAAGACAAAGACAAAGATGAAGACAATGACACAGAAAAAGAGGACAAAGACAACACAGCAGATGAAGAAGATGAAGACAGTGAAGAAGATGAAGACAAATAGGATGAAGAAGATGCAGAAGACAACAAAGAGGAAGAAGACAGATGGAGACTAAAAAGACAAGATATAGAACGTTTATTTAAGAATAGATAGAAGAAGTATAGTAATAGGAATTTAGAAATACTTAGAAGAAGAAGAATAGGAAAAGGAATAAGAATTTCATAATATGTAGAAGAAGAAGAATAGGAATAAGAATTTTAAAATATGTAGAAGAATAATAGGAATAGGAATTAGAATATAAAGATACATAGAAGTAGCAAAGAAGAAGAATAGTAAGAAAGAGTAGGAAGAAGAAGAAGAAGAATAGAAAAATGAAGAGAAAATTGAAGTAATAAGTAAAATTAGCAAGTAATTTATTTTTATTACATATTGTATATTTCTATTACAGTTATGAAATAAAAACATTTATGTACCATATGTTGTAATCACAATGCATCATAATGCCCCCACGCTGTTCCCGTTATTGAAGAATCTGTGTGTTTGCTAACAACGTCGGTAAGGCCCCAGAGCAGAGTGCCCAGATTCCGTGTCCTGTCTCTCCGAGGTGCCGATGCGCTGTCCCAGCCCGAGCCCCGGAGCGCCCCGCGGGCAGCGCGGGCTCAGCCCCAGCGGCAGCGGGAGAGTTCCCGGCCGGGCCGGCGGGGCAGGGCTGTCGCTGCTCTCTGCAGGCAAACGGGAGGCGCAGGCTGAGCCCGGCTGGCAGAGAGCTGTGCCGGGCAGCCCTTTGCAGCAGGGCTGTGCAGGCAGCACAGCGAAGGCAGCGGAGCCCCGCTCTGCCGCTGCCCGTGGCCGGGGAGCCGGGCCGGGGCTGTTCCTGCAGCCCTGCCTGCCTCCAGCAGCCCTGGGCCGGGCGGGAGGGGTTCCCCCGCTGCAGCCCCAGCTGAGGCAGCAGCAGCAGCTCTGTGCTGCTCCTGACACATCCCTGCGGCAGCAGCTGCACGGGGCTGTGCAGCCACAGAGCCCAAAGCAGCGCAGCAGCAGCGCAGCAGCAGCGCAGCTCTGGGGCTCTGCTGCTGCTGCTGCTGCTGCTGCTGCTGCTGCTGGGCAGCCCCACAGGGCTCAGGTCACTGTAAGGGTGGCTGCAACAAATTTTTAAGTCCCCCGACTTCAGGGTGAACATGGCACAAAATAGGAAAAAAGGAGCAGGAACGGTGAAGTGCCCGAAAAGGAAATTACTTCTAATGACAAATAAAAATAGGGACAATGCCCAGGAACCCAGGGCAGCACAAGGACAAGCTCCAAAGACCAGAAACAAGGGAGAGGTAATGTCTTGGGGGTGGAACATTCTTTAAGACAATATGTGGAAAACAAATAACCAGTAGGGGAGTAGAACTTGGATATTTAACATAATAACTCCAAAGGCTTTTGGGAGGAGATCTCAGGCTTGCCCTCAGTTACATGAATGTTTTCCAGGGCTTGATGCTGAGGTTTGGGGTGAGGGGGGTGAAGTCTGGCTGACTGTGTGTTCCAGTCAGGCTGCTTCCTCCAGGGTCAGTGCTGAGCAGCTGTCGCAGGAGTGTGGTGTTGGGGTTTCCATTTTTGGGAGTGCTCCAGGGAAGGGTGCTTCTCCAGGATTAATTTTACTTTTTTTCTGGGATACCTTTCAGAGAATTGCAGAATCCCTGATGGTAGAAAGGGTTTCCCAGCACATCAAGTCCAAACAGTGCCCAATGCCCATGTTGTCACCCAGATAACGTGGGTGACAGAGTGCTATGTCCAGGTCTTCCTTGGCCAGCTCTAGGGATGGAGACTCGACCACTACCTTAGGCAGCTGCTTCCAATGCTTAACCACCCTTTCCATGAAGAAATTCCTGCTGGTATCCAAGCTGACCATCCCTTGGCCCAGGCTGAGGCTGTGTCCTCTCATGCTGTCACTTGTTGCCAAGGAAAACAGGCAGTCCACACCTGGCTGCACCCTCCTGTCAGGGAGCTGTGGAGAGCACTGATGTCCCCCCTGGGCCTTCCCTCCCTTTTTTTTTTGAGCACAACCAGCTTTCTCACTGAGTGAAGATCCCTTTGGGGCAGCAACTCCCATTTTTGTGCAGTTGTTCCAATGTCCCAAAGGTGAGAAATCATGCTCACACAAAACTGAGGAATCTTTGCTGCTCTCAGCACCTCCTCAAGAGTAGCTATTTCTGTGGATTTGCTGATGACCCCCAGAGCTAAGATCCCATTGTTCTCAGCAGCACTCTTGGAGCAGTTGGGAGTGCTGTCAAAGAAGGGGAGGGATCGCTGGATTTGCTTGGAGCAAAATGTGTTTTCTGGATTAACACAGCGGTGGCATGAAACAGTTTAACTTCATGCTTGTATTACCCACATTAACACCACCATTAATTTGTATGTTTCTGCTGATGTTTCTTATCAAACAGACTCTTGGGATTCTGTCCAGAGAACAAGAGATGTTTCCCCTCAGCTAAACCAAGCCACCATCATCGACCTGCACCCGTCCTCCACCTACAACATCCGCATGTACGCCAAGAACCGCATCGGCAAGAGCGAGGCCAGCAATGAGCTCACCATCACCACTGATGAAGCAGGTATGAACTGGCTTTGCAACCTCTAAATTCTGTGGGAATGATCTCTCTCTGATGTCAGGAATCGTTGCATGAAATGCAACTTCTGTAGCTGCAGCTGTATCAAAAGGAGTACTGAGTGTTTCCCATAGAACATCGTGACTTTTGCAACTTAATTGTACAGGGCTGTAATTAAAGCTGTTCAGTGGCATCTAGTGGTCAAAGAAGACATTGTGCTCCAAATTTTCCTTGTGATGTTGGGAATAAGACACCTATATCCACAGTGAGACAACTCAATCAGCAACGTCCTGTTTTTAGCAGTGGTGCCTCCCCTGTGGGTATTGTGGCTTTCCTTACATGTTTAGATATTAACGTAGGTAACTAATTTAATTTTTTCCCTTTTGAGAATGTTGATCCACATGAATCAACTCTTCATTTGAATATTCCCTCACTCAACCCAACATTTATTTGAATATTCCCTCACTCAACCCACTCACCATTTATTTTTCTGGCCTTTATTTAAGTCTTTTGGCTGTCCCTTGTCAGTGTCATCCCCCTGATCTTTGTTCTGTTGCATTACAGAATCACAGAATCATTTAAGTTGGAAAAGACCTCCAAAGTCATCAAGTCTGACCTTTATTTTTACCTTTAACCTTTTATTCTCCTGCATCAGCACCAAGAGTACTGTGTTGGTGGCTGGAGCCACTCTCATGTACATAGAATTTCTGTCTTCCTTTACCTTATTCTAAGTCAGCACAGCTTCCTTCTTTGGGGATTTAGAGATGACAACATGGTGACAGAGTCCTGGCAGTGAAAATTCCCTTTTTCTTTCAAGATTCATGCTGATCTTGGATTTGAACACTCAGAGACTGATTTTTAGTTCATATCCTATGAACCCAACTGTGAAATTCCCACTTAATTTCTCTGGGAATTTCCTACAATGAAAACACATTCCTTGTCTGGGCATGGTTTTGGTTCTGAGGGACTTTCTGAGTAGGAGCAGGACACAAGGGCTCACAGTGGAAAGCAGAGTAAATTGGAGACAACATAAGTTGCATTTGTTTTATCATTCCAGCAGAAGAAAAGTGTGCAGTGAACAGCTTTAACAATAAATAGTTTGTTTGAAAAATACTTATTTTTTTATCAGAAATTTTCTCTTTCTTTGTACAAAGAAAATGTGAAATCACTAGAGAAAATAGACTATCCATTCTTCCAGCCAGAGACATCTATAACCCCAAAATGCCCATCCTTCCTTGTGCAAAATAGAGGGCTGGGTCTTGGATCAACTCTCTTATTCACCTATGCTTGGAATGTTTTTTACTTGCCAGGTTTTTCCTGGCTGGTAATTAAGTTGTCAGGATCAGCAGCTGCCCTTGGAATAAAAAAACAGCTTCCCCCTGAGCAGGGTGGAACCTTAACATCCATAACATTTTATTCAGTTCTTTGTAACCAGGTTTCAGAATAAATGATCCTTTTGTCGCTGTCTTTTGAGGAGCTGTTTGTTGGTAAAAAAAAGACCAGCAGTGTGGAGCTGTATTCAAAAGTCACTGATCTACCTAGGGAAGAACTGGAAGGGAGGAGGTCAGGCTTAGGCAGAATTTGTGATGTTTTTCTCTTGGGTTTTTATTCCAGGGGATGCACAAAGTGTAGGAACATCCTTTTTTTTTTTATCACTGTTTACTTCTGTTCTCTGCTTTTACAGCAGGCAATGGGGAACAGCATGGGTGCAGGGGATGAGAGAGAAGCTAATGAGAAGGGAGCAAAATAAAGGTCCAAGAAATACAAGATAAAAACCAAGCAACTTGGAAAGGGGGCACAGACTCTGTATTATGTATCGCAAAGAAATATCTCTATTAAAAAGAAACCTGTAAAAGATCTCTGTGGCAAAAGGATAGGTAAGGATGGAATGATTTCAAAGCTTGCATACCACATCTTTCTTTCCATACAACCCCAATTAGCTCATGTGTTGGAAAATAGATGCCAGTACACACTTACAATAATGCCTGTCAGAAAAAAAAGAAGCATTATGGCCATGGCCTAATTCTGAAATCAATAGAGGAAACGGGAATATCTGGGTTTTCTTTATGTCCTTGCCACAAACTCTGTATGACATTAAGTATGTAAAACAAATGACTTTTATTTAGCATCTCCCCGTGGTGTGCTGGGAGCACTTAACTCTTCAGATCTGTGGGAAAAAAAAAAAAAAAAAAGGTCTTGTGAGGAAAATTCAGGATTTTTGGGGGCACATTTTAAACCCTATTTTTAGGATCAAATGCTTCACTCAAATTCCACTACATTATAGCATACCCCAGAGAAGTGGCATTCATTTTTGTCAACAGGAGGACAGAATCAAGGTCAGGCTTCAGAAAATTCATAGAGATCTCATTTTTGCCAGTGGACTTTTTCCTCTTTTCTTTCCTTTGTATTAATGCAAGAAGAATGGAAATAAAGTTCTTTCAAGCTTTGGAAATTTCCCATATGAAGAACAGTCAGGAATAGCAGAGAATAGGGCATATTTAATAACTTAAACATATTATAGGCTGTATTCTGTGTCTCTGCTTTCATCAAAGTTAAAGCAAAATGTTCTGGTTCCTTTCACCACAGCTGTCAT